GCCTGCCTTCAGTCTGCTGCCTTGATCACTGAAGACAACAGATCACATCACCTTCTTGAAAAAGAATCTTCTTTCATGTTTTCACAAATGCATTCTTGCCTTTTCCTATCCAGATCAAAGACTACTGCAAAGATTATTTTTCATAATCTGACAAGCCCACTACTTTGTGCTTCTGAATATGATGCCTGAACTGCAGTTGTTTTAACCTGCATGGTATTTCACAGCCAACTCCAACAAAGCTATCATGTCTTATCCATTACAGAATGGCTGCTGACTGCCACCACCTCAAACTAAAGAAATCAAGCTCCATTTTCTATTAATTAAGGTTTCCAAGCAAACATCATTATGCTTGATCCCCCTTCAGTGTTCCAAGTCACAGAGCCCAGTGTCTTTTTAAAAAAATATTTCTCTAAACTGATCTATTTTTCCACTGACAGCAGCTAGATCAAGATTACTGTTTGCAGGCTGGTTGCTAGCATCCACCTCAATTGTCAAACTGATTACTGATCATCATCCCTATTATAAACTCTTCAGGATGGAGATTTTCTGTGCCCTGTACCTTTGCACAACGACATCCTAGAGACTAGGGTAACACTCTTCCATATCAAGAAAACAAAGCCACACCAGAACTACCAAGACAGGTTCCAAAGCAGGATGATCCTAACGTTCCAGGAAGAGCTGCACAGACTAGTTCAATAGCTGTAGAAGGTCTTGCCACTTGTTTTTCTCTGAACCACAGAAAGAAAGCATGGTAAAATGTTTTTAGCAACATTTACACCTTAAACAGTAATAAAAACTCTCTAGGAATCCATATGGATGTCAAGTATTTTCTTTAAACTTGTTGAGGACCGAACCAGTGTACACCAAGGTCCACTCCAGAAGCACGGATGATTTTTTTGCCACTTTAAGTTCTTTAGACCTCCAATCAGGAAACATACCTCAAGTCATCAAAAAAAAAAAAAGTTAGCAATTTTGTTTATTCCATTATATACAGTGCCAACTGGGCAAAATCCTACACACACACACAGGGGATCCCCCGCCCCGCCCCTCGGTGCTGGCAGCGCTGCTGCCGCGCGTACCCGGCCCTGGGGCGAAGGGGGTTCCCGGGGTGGGGAGGGGGCTGGTGCTGGTCCCCCGGGAGCGAGGACGGGCGGCGGTTCCTGCTGGGGGTGGGTTAACGGGAGCCCTGGTGTCGGGCCATGACTCGCTCTGTGCTCTGCAGGCAGGGGTGTTGCATCCCTAGCAGGCTGGAGAGCACCCTTCTCGGGAGGCCCTCGGTTATCCTCCTCTGCTACGTTTCCTGGGAACTTGTTGATCGTTTTGAGGCTCTCATTTAAAGACTTTGCCGAAATGCGTGTTTCAAGTAGTTGCCAAAAATGGTTCTTGTTAGACTATCAAGAAGCCCAGCAATGATATCACTCAAGTAGGTAATTTACCAAGCGTTCAGTGGACAGGGGTGACTGTTTTGTGTCATCGTTTTTCTACAACACACTTTGTCTGTGGCCTGTCACACGTTGGCTCAGGCCCTGGTACTGGTATGCTTAGCCGCATCCTTTGCCCACCACAAGAACAGCTCTGTGGACTTTGCCACTGCAGTCATTCATGGAAATAAAGCTAAGCATGGATACAGTGATTTTCAGGAGCCTTATTTGTAAACAAAGGGTATAGCAGTGCAGTTTGAAGGGTATCTTGCAGTATTTTTCTAAGTTGTGTATACATTTTATTGCCTCCGTAGGGCTGGGAAGATCATAACATAATCTGCCTTTAGGGTAAATCGCGCAGTCTCTGGGCAGACAGTGATTCCTGAGAGCCTTTGGCTGAGTTATGCATCGTGTTTTGGGCTCGTGTACCCTTTTGCGGCATTGTATGTAGACAATCACAGGTTCCTATGGCCTTGTTGATTAAACTCTGTATTTGACAGAATAACATCGTTATTTGTCTGTAGGCCTGATACACAGATTAGTGTGTAATCTTCAGTCTTAGAATAAGAATCTAAATGTATAGTTTTTATCAGCTGTGAAAATGATGGTCAAGCCTGGGTTGAGCTGAGAAAGGAGCATATGGAAATGTAAAATAGTGTAGCTGCAAATGGTCAGAGGTGTGCCTTTTCTTGTTTCAACTTGTGTATGGCCCCAGGGAAGATATTTTTGGTGAACACATCCCTTGTTCTACTTAGATCTTGTTACCTAAGCTAAAGTAGAATGTACTAGGCATTCCTTCTTAACTCTTAAATAAATCAGGGATGTGTTTCTGTGCTTTAGTACAATGTTTAATTAAAGACCTTTGCTACAGGTGCTCCTCTTGCACTGTCATCCCTTGCCCAATCACATTTCTCACGATAGGGCTAACTTAGGTCAGACTTAAGAGTTACTGAGACATTGTTTTGAAGGATTAATGAAATTGATCACTCACCTTTAGGGAAGAAATGTTGCCATAAGCTCTTTCAAGCAGAGGATGAACCAAGCAGCAATCTCAGAACTATGGAGTCTTATAGGCCCAAGGAATATTTCTCACCTTTGCATTTTTCCAGGGGAGTTACTAACTTTTCTTTCTATTTGTCTTGCTAGCTTTCGAACTGCAAGTTCAGTTTCATTTTCTTCCCCTGTCTGTTTCTGCTCTGCCTCACATCCTGTGTTTAAATATCCATTGACTTCTCTGTAATTTTTCTGTTCCTCTTCATCTCAGGTTGTGGAAGCTACTCTGATTTTGTTTTCTTCCCACCCTTCTACTATTTCCAACTATTACAGGAGTTTCCTGCATCTCCTGGGTGATAAGAGTGCTGCCTCTCTTCCCTTATTTGGACCACTACCCAAACCATATATACTCTTTGAGAAACTGGGGGGGAAGGAGATAGTTCCCCATACACTTACAGTATGTGCTCTTAGATTTGGTCTTTCTATTCCCATCAGCTTATTGCATTGAGTCTCCAGTGACTGTATTCATGTTTCTACCTCCTGGGCACAAGGCTCTGTAGGCTTCCCAGTAAGGTGTGACAAGTGATTCTTTGCTTCCCCTGTGCTGTCAACTGTTCCGCAGCTTTCCTGGTCAACATATTAAGCAGGGAATTTTCAGTGATACATTTACACTGATGTTGTTAAGTAAGATTGACTTTTTCAGGAACTTCGGCATAGGCAGAGGAAATTTTGCTTCCCTTAAAGTCTTTCTTGTCCTTCTATAATTGTTTTGTGTCGGAAGTATATGGGGGTTCAGACAAACTTAGAAAATGCTTTTCCCTTGTATGTGCCAAGCCATAACATGTGGTCTCCCTTGAGTTCACTGAGAGCAGCTGGTACTGTCTTTGAGCTGACACGTAAGGGTGAAGCTGAACTTCACATAGCAGTAATCTTCAGGTAGCAGTAATAATAATCCAGAAAAAGAAATGTGAGTGTGTTTAACTTTTCCACGTTAAAGTGGGAAGTAGAGGGTATTCTGTTTTTTTAAAGCACATCCTTCTAGTGCTTCTGACAATGGCTGCAGCTGCCTTGGTTATTTCCTGCTGAACCAGCCAGACACAGGCTCCACTGCTTCCAGGCTGTGCCTGGGGGCGGAGGGGTGGAGTGGCTCTAGCTTTCAGTGTCGTCTTCCTCCCTAGAGAGAGGGATGAGCCCAGAGGCAACCATCAGGAGGGCAGGTGGGTGCTGGAGGGGATATTTTTTGGAGCACAGCAACAGGGCTGAGGAAGGTGGAGACTGGTAGCTTCTGGTGTGAAGTTGCAGGGGTTTATGGGAGCAGAAGTAAGAACTATGAGGATATAGTGCTGTTGTGTTTCGCATCCCTTGATTAATGAAGTTGATGTGGATTATTGTACATTTAGGTTTGGTTTGGGGGCATTTGTGGAAAATTTTTTGGTTTTGCCCTCATACACTCTAAATTTAGTGTCCTAGCTATTTTTTTCCCCAGTTGAGTATCATTTTATTCTTCATGATGTAATAAATTACTAGCTTACATTTTTGTAATGTGACAGTGTAATGTAGCGGTCTGAAGAGCAGGAGAGAGAAAGTAGTTGTGCAGGTATTGTATGCTTTGGTTTGTTGGGTTTTTTTCACCAAAAAGCCACAACATTGCAAAATGCACTGATAAAGTGGATTTAAATTGAGGGAATTTTCATCTGTCCTCCCACACGAGCATTAGAAATCTTGTTTTTGCTGCATGAATGCTAATATTTCAAAGTCAGCATCAAAGTTCTTAAGGCTAAGTGAGGAGATGATTTAGCACATTTTCCTGATTGCAGCTTGTTGTGATTGTGTCTTTTCTTCAACAGTTATTTTGCTTCCCTGTTTCTTTTGGCATTCCCCAAAATAGTTCTTCCAGGCAAACCTATCATTCTTATACTAACTAATGCACAGTAGCGAGTCTCTTGCTCCTACCTGTTTTTACCTGCTTCTAGCAACAAATTGGATGTCTATCCCTTTTGAAAGGTACCTGCAAGCCAAAATGAAATGCCTCTACCATTCACATGGAATGAAATGCAGTTTAACACCACCTAAAGCTTCTTTGTTGATTTTTGGGGGAAGTGGTGCCAATGTGACTAAGACTGCTTTCCTGAAGCTAGGTAGTTCTCAGAATCCTGATAGGCAAAGGTGAGGACCCTTCAGCCCAGCTGGTATGACAGTTAAGTGATGTGATCACAGTGGCTTTCACTTCTTTCTTGGGCACGCTGAATTGTACAGTGATGTAACCCTAGTAATCAGTTCTCTCTTCAAACAAACAAACAAAAAAAAATTTTAAAAAATCCCTTTACTTGGTAGCACCCATGACAGCATGTTCATGTGTGTTATTTGCATATGTTTAAACAGAAATATGACTTTGCTGTCTGAGCCATGAGAGCCCGAGTCTGGAAAGTGTGCTGGATGGCATGAAGCCCTTGAGATTGCCAAGGGAGCCAGAGTTAAGCTCTGGAGCTCGGGCTTCATAGCTGGTGTAAAGTGTCAGCCTGCACAGCAT